AGGAAAAAAGGGATAGGTGCTTACTCTGCTGTGACCGCTGCTCAGGGGCCATTGCAGCAGGTGCCAAGCATGGAATGTTTGCAGCATCTTTTAGCAACCTGAGCTCAAGCGAAGCTTAGCCCCCTTGAGTCCTAGGACTGTCTGCTCAGAACCCCTGGCCAGAAGCCACCAAGAAGAGATGGGGCTGGCTCTCCTGCTGGGCCACCTACCACATCTGGTACAGGAAGTCGGACTGCAATGGCCTCTGCTCCTGGCAGAGCTCCAGGGCTGCTTTATTGAGCCTGATGAGGGCATCTTCTCTCTGGTTCTCCTCAGGGAGTGTCATCACTGCCTGGCAGGGTCACAGGTACCATGAGTAACCGTTCTGCCCAGGACACCAAAGGTCCCTGTGTCCTCTAGTGATGTGTGTGGTGTGGTGAGGGGATATGGCCATGGAGCATCTATCTGGTGTGCCTTCTGTGGGAGCCTGGGACCTCCCTCAGAAATCTGTACCCATGAGCCCCTTTTCCAGGGTTTGCCAGGGTCAGAGAGGAAGCCCCTCCTGTACCATAGTGGCCTACGCACCTGAGACAAAAAGAGATGACCCAAGAAATTGCTTTCCCTGGGCCCTCATTTCTTCACCCGTGAGGAAAAGATGCACTGCTGGGGCCCTCCCTCACCAGGCTGGGCCAGGGCCACTCTCCCCCATCCCTTCAGGGGCAGGCAAGCACCTTTCTGAAGTCCTCCATGCAGAGGTTCCACTCAAGAGGGGAAAGGCTCTCCAGCTCCCAGGGGCTCTTGGCGCTCTCCCGGTCCGGGCTCCCCTCCACCAGGATCTCCTCCATGATGCTCTTCCCCTGAGGACTCCTGACCCTCACTCCAGTCTTCTGGAACCTGAAAGAATCTTGGGAGTCCCCGAGGGCCATATGCTCCTGCCGAGGCAGTTGGGATTCTAGGACTGGGTTCTTAAAGTACGCCGAAGACTCAACGTTCACCGTTGTCTTGTCCAAATAGACCGCCTGGGCCCTGGGGCTGAGGTGCTCCTCCTCGCCTGGCCCGGCCTCCTCGGCCTTGGAGGGCAGGATCATGTACTGGTGCCACAGTCTGTGCAGGTTTTGTACCACTTGGTGCTGGTAATGCAGCTGTTAGCAGGTGCAAGGGAAGACACGTGATGGGGAGGCCAGGCACGGGGCACCCAGAGCCTGTGAGCCTACTCTGGTTTCTCTGTTTGTTCCCTTGAGGGCACTGATGGAGGAGGCAGGGAGGAAGCCAGCAGGAGAGGCTGTGACCAGCGGGAATCCCCACTTCCCCTTCAACCTGAGCATCTCCAACTTAAAGCATTTTTTGCCTGTAGGCTTCCAAAGTAAGATTGGGTTTGAATGAAGGAGTTCCTGAAGCTCCGTTCTCGCCAAGCATCTACTTATCTTAGGCAAATTACTTAACCTCCCTGGGCCTCAGTTTCCTCCATGTAAAGTGAGGATATAAATAGTGCCCATCTCACAGAGCTGCCGTGAGGAGAAAATGAGTTACTCATGGAAGACACTCAGAACAGCTTCTGGCACATTGGAAGTTTTTGCTATTCCTTTTACCCAGGGCAAGCCAGAGGGACAGGGGCCGGTGCTGGGCCTGTACCCGAGGATTCCTGTGGTGGAACAAGTCCTCCTCCGTGAGGTAGGCATCCACAGGTGACTGCGCACGTTCCGGGGTCAGGATCCCCCTCAGCACCTCCTGCAGCATGCTCTGCACGATGCTGACTGCTTCCTTGGAAGCCAGATTTTTCTGGGGAAGAAAAGTTGGCACCAGACAGCAGCTCAGGCTTCCGAAACTCATTTGCATCATGGAGGGGAGCCAGATCCCTGGGGACTTTGTGCCTTCCTAGGGGTGGAGTTCCTGCCATTGTCTCTGTCTCTGTCTCTGTCTCTGTCTCTGTCTGCATCATGGAGGGGAGCCAGATCCCTGGGGACTTTGTGCCTTCCTAGGGGTGGAGTTCCTGCCATTGTCTCTGTCTCTGTCTCTGTCTCTGTCTCTGTCTCTGTCTCTGTCTCTCTCTCTCTCTCACACACACACACACACACCCCTATTCCTAGACTCAAAACCCCCTGGGTCTGCCCCAAACATCTTTGTTCCCTAAAAGAGGCTGTAAGGACCCCAAGGAAGGGCCAGTTCTAGAAAAGTTGCTCCTTCATAGGGCCAAGAGGTCACATAGTCAGCATTTCCCACAGACTAGGAAGAAGGGAAAAGGGCCAGGGGCCGCACGGTTTGGGCCTGAGAATGTGACTTAGCCATACAGTCAGTATCACAGAAACAGGGGAACAGCATCTCCACAGAGAGGTCAGGCCTATGGTCACAAGTAAAGCAGATATGGCATTTGTCCAAACTACCTCTGATTAGCACAGGTTGAACTCCAGCTGAAGTAGCTCTGGCTAGTAAATAAAAAAGCATGGCTTTCCACAGAGTCACACAGAGCACAGCACCAGGTAGCCAGGGTCTGGATCTGACTCGAGGGGCAGAGCCCCAATTCCCACCTCATACTCACTCCTGGGTGCCACTCTATTGGTTAAATTGTTCTCTCTAGTTTTGCCTGGTTTTGAAGTTTTGCCAGTTAAATGCAACTCCACTGGCTGGTACCAGACAGCAGTGAACAAATACAGCACCAGGACACGACATCATTCGTTATATGTACTCAAATACATACTTCCCCACAGGCTGCATCTTAAGGCCTAGTCTCATCTCTTTCTGGCGGTGGGAGCCATGCATGGCAGAGCTCAAAGCTGCCCCTCCTCTCATCTGCCCACCCATCTTTTCCAACACAAAGCTCTGAAAAGTGTCTGTTGAGCAAGAGTATCTGGCAGAAACACGATCTCTATAGGCAGTGCCAGGAAGCTCACCAGGGTAACCTATCTGGTATCCACAGGGGCCAAGATCCTGAGTTCCTTACCTCCAGTAATTTCCTCTCACTCCTAAAAATATCCTGGGCCAGGGAGACTGCGTAGAGATTGACCTGCAGGACAGCACCTCCCAACAGGGTGGGGTGGGTTCCAAACTCCCAACATTCCCTGAAGATCCCAGCATTCAAAGATTTGAAGAAGAAGGTAAAGGTTTTAGTTTCTCCAGGCAGAATCACACCTGAGAGGGATAGAGATGGAGGTTTTCAATAAAGAGAAGCTGGCCGAGCCCCAAACCTGCATGTCTAAAGTTAACTGAGCCCTAAGCCCATGCAGATACATTTAACCGAGCCCCAGGTAAGGTAACCAATTGCTCTGGTTCGTCCAGGACTAAGGTGTTTTTAGGATGTGAGACTTATAGTGCTAAAACTAGGAAAGTCCCAGGCAAACAGGGACAGTTGGTTGTCTTAGCCTCAGGCCTGTGCCTATAGGTAACTGAACCCCTAGAATGCCTCTGCTCCCTGGTAGCTCACCTATCTGTATTCTAAAGAGTTCCACCCTTCCCCCAACAGACATGAATAGTTGGGAGATGACACGTGCCACAGAAGAAACTGTGGATGGGGAACGAGGCAGGGAAGTGGAGCTGGCCATTAGCTAGACATGGCTTCTCAGACATCAAGGACGAGAGCTGTGAGCAATGCCACTTCTGCCAGGTACCTTCCCGATTGTTAAAGTAGAACCGCTCCATCCTGTTTCTCTTCAGCTCCTGGAAAGAGTCCAGCTGGGACCGCCGCCGCCAGTCATACAAAATGGCCACTGTGCCATTATTGACCACAGTCAGTTCTGAAGATGTTTTCTGCCCTTCTAGAGTTTCGAAGGTCAAGCGGACAGCAATTCCAATGTGCTTCTGAGGAAGGAGGAAGTATGAGAAACGTCCTTGGGGGAGGCCCTGGCCTAGGGCGACCAACTCATCCTGGTGTGCCCAGGACTTTTCCAGGTTTGGCACTGAAAGTCTCATGTCCCAGGCCTCCAGGGCCTGGCTGCTCTCAGACAGATTGGTGTCACACCCCGATAGTGGCTATCTCTGAGGTGCCATCAACCGTAATAAGAGATAAAGCAGATTTTATATCTGATGACCATTTCTGCTCCTTAGCACCTGAAGAATATTTTAGAGCCTTCTTAAAGCCACACCTGTTTGAGAAGATTTGCTTTTTACATGATTGGGGCTAGGTACAAACTGAGTGGCTTGTGACACTCTCTTTTCAGCCTTGTGATTTTATTCTGGCTCAAGTTAGCATTGCTGTTACCATTTTCAGACATGCTGAATGCATGACCAGATAAAAAAAAATGCAGGTAGGAGACTGCAAGCTCCTTGTGACTGCCACAGTCACCTTGGGACTGCACCCGAGGGACACCCATCCAGCAGGTGGGTGAGGGTGAAGGCAGGCTTACCTTGTCCTGTGGGTTACTGCTTCTGATCCAGCAAGCTGGCTTCCCACAGAATAGCAAAGAAGGGCCAAGAATAGGCATGGGGGCCGTATCAGGGTAATCGGTCAATAAGTCTCTGTAATAAAAATCAATGACATATTTTTTTCTGAGGCTGCCACAGTCTCGCCACATGGAGCCACAGAAATGGTTGTCAGCAAGTCTGGAGAGGTGCCTGGCTCTGCCCCCCAATGGAATATCATCAGCTCCACTTGAGCTCAGCTTCGTCCTGCTCTATTCCTGTAGGTGGAAGAGTCTTGGACATACACAGACTCTTCTTGCAGAGCCACTCAGTGTACGCAGCCCTGGGAAAGTCTGGAGAGGCCCCACTTACCCAGCGAAGGACTGTCTGGGAGACCCCCATTAGGAGTTGGTTGCTGGGAGGGAACAGATGTCCAGAGAGAAGCTGGCACATGTGTTGGAATGGGCTAGAAAAGGGGGTGGCAGCCACTAGCGAGAGGTTGTGATGGAGGCATCCTGATTTCAGGGAAGGATGCCTGCCTTTAATACTGTGGGCGCTGGGGGGAGCCCCACCTTCCAATCTTTCTCCCGAGGGTCCAGGTCCAACTCACAAGCTTATCGTGTCTCCAGAAGAACTTTTCTGGCTCCTTTCAAACCCTGGAAAGTCTTCCACTGTAACAGCTGATAAAGGTTGCCCTCTGCCCACCACCTCCAGGCCATCAATATCCTTACAGAAACCAAGAAAGGAAAGATTAGCTGAAGATGAGCGCCACCCTAAGGGGCTTCAGATTGGGCACGGAGGCATTACCAACCTGCTGGCTAAAATCCAGCTCTGCCATGATGCTCTGCAGCTCCTTGCGTCGGTAGATCAGAAACAGACTCCGATCCCAGGTGTAGCGGTACCAAGCGTCCTTCTGGTCCAACAATCCTAGAGCAGGGTCGAGGACCCTCAGCACAGGCTGCTGCCATGCCCCTTCCCCACTCAACCTAAATGGCTCTGAATATACTCATCTCAGCACCATTTCTGGGAAAGGGGAAAATACAGCTGCCCTGTGCAGCTGGGCTGCACCTCTTCTATAACTGTCTCACTGAAGAGGAAACCGGACCTCCACAGGGCTATGGGACCTGATCCCAGGTCAGTCTCCCACCAGGGCCGTGCTGTCCCACATCCACATCAGTTACAAGCTGCCCCGCTCCTCACCCATCTCTGCCTGGATAGAGTGCGGCTTCCTGACATGAGTGATTGGTTCCAGAAGGCCACGCTGAGTTTTCGTCTTCGTCATTACCAGACCCGTCATTTCATCTCCCAAGTATTCCAGCCGACTCCAGAACCCTCTGGTCTCCTCACAGCACTGGCAAGGAAGGGCAGATGAGTCAGATCACCTGGACACCTTGGAGAGAGGCTGACAGGGGGCCCGGGAGACAAGAGCACCGCAGGCTACAGATGCTTGCTCTGGGGGATTCGTTGCTGCCAAGGACGAAGCACCCACTTTCTTGTTTTCAGGATGCCCTGTTGTAGCCTTTACCCGGTCTCAGACAGACAGTGTGGGTGATAGAGGTGCTGTGCTAACATACCAGATACAACACGGTGCCCTGGGTCATCCAAAAGCATGAGCTTAGCTTTTAGGAGAGAACACTAAGGCTATTCTAATAACACAGTGCCTGTGCTATCTTTCTCCTCAGATTAACTACCAGTGACCACCATAGGCTAAATTACTTAACTGACCAGTCTCTGTTAATAGGACCAATAATAGGACCAATAATATAATTTAGTAAAGGGCTTGAGGGCTTAACAATGCTTTGCGATGGATAGATTTGTCTTGTCCCCAACTGTGCAAACTGAGGCAGACATCCCTGTGTCCAGACCCCCTCCTCATAGGGCACCTGGGAATGCTGTCCTCACCTTCCCATCATGCTGTGTTGGAAGTGTTCGGTCAATGAGCTCCCGTTCCTCCTGGATCTGTCTGTAGGTCTCCCCGATGTGCATCAGCAGCTGGCTGACAGGCTTCTTCAGGCGTTCTAGAGAAAGAGAGAGCCAAGAATGCAGCCCCTCTACCAAATCAGAACAAACAAACTCAGCACTAGGCACTGGTCAGCCTCATCCCTGGGCTAATTTCAGAACCCACTAAGAGCAAGAAGCACTGGTAGTGAATGGCACAGATATGTTCAGCCTAAATCCAGGCTCTGGACAGGTGGAGGGAGAGAAAACAAACAGCAGCAGAGCCTGGATGTCGGATGAGGTACGGTGGGAGTCCCATACACCTGCTCACCACTGAGAGCTTCCTGCTGTCTCTTCCGCAGGGTTAGGTTGCGCTGCCAGTTTTTCAGAAAGTTGTGCTGAGAAGGTGGGGACCAGGGCTGTGCCTTCTCTTCTTCTGGGGATTTCTGCTTCTGCTCTTCTGTAGCTGAGATGAAGTTCATCAGACAGGGCGGGGTGTGTATCAGCTCGGCTAACTGAAAAGTACAGCATATGTGTGTGGAGGGTGGCAAGAAGGCACTAAACGGGCAGAGCAGAGATTTCTTCGGGCCTAAATCCCTGATGTCCTCCTACTCTGTTGAAGATCCTTCCTCTTCAGGACCCAAAGGTAGTGAGCGGCGGAAAAATCACAGAACCAGGCTGCCTGGGAAACTAATCAGACCCCTCTCCCCCAGAATGGGGACCTCTGTTCTAAGATTGTGGTCAAAATCTTTCCATGAGTCTGTTCTCCTTACGACTGTTGTTAATTGACACCTTCACTGGCAGGATGATGGAGACATTTTTATATGACTCCAGGCCTCTTAGCACCTGACCAATCAGGGAGTCTTTGCCTGGAACAGAGAAGCAAAGAAACAGAGAGAGAGAGAGAGAGAGAGAGAGAGAGAGAGAGAGAGAGAGAGCGAGCGAGCGAGCGAGCAGCATTGCAGGATGGGAAAGACAGTAAGACAGGCCGACTATTCATGTGGCCCCAGGAGCTGGGCTCCAGCATGTGGACATAGGAGGAGAAAAGGCCAATCTTTGGAGAAGGGAAAATGCGGCCGGTGCACAGAGGAGCAGAAGGCAGCAAGGGAGCGTGGGCCCGGATCCCCGATGCCTTTTTGGGTTCTCTGGCCAGACACATTCTTGCCTTTGGATTCCTCGAGGCACCTTTGTATCCTTATAGTGACTTCCTAACTTCAGCTGAAGCTAACTTAAGTTGGCTTCACTATTTCAGGGGGAAGGTCACTTATCACTTCAGTCTCTGGGGCCCAGAGACTGGACTGTCTTTTTAACCCGGGGCCTGCTTGACTCTGCCGAGTGTGAGAATGAAATGACCAGTGACCTCTCTTGTCCCGGCAGCTCCGTGCAAACAAACCTGGGTGTTCCCTCGAGCAACTGCAATTCTCTTAAAGTCCTGGAGACTCCCCAAGATGTGGTGGGACAGGATCTGGTCGCTGCCATGGAAATAGTCACCTGGACCTGGTGGGCAAAAGAGGAGTGAGAAAAACAAGCTGTAGCTAGCCGATGTAAACAATTCAAAGGGGCTACTTTCTGATGGAGACCCCGCTTTCTTTCAAGGCCGATCCATGAATTCAGAGACCCGGGCCAAAGCTGGGCATACCAGAGTAGTCCAGGGGCTTTGTGGTTGCATCTGGAGTAGCAGGATGTGCTACTAAGTGGCAGACCTTTCTCCTAGGATCCTTGGGTTTGGGTTTACGGATGATAAATTTCTGGGTAATGACAGGTTTATCTTCTGTTTCAGTAAAGCGAGGAATGTGTTGCTAAAAAGAAACAAAAGAGAGAATTCCAGAGATCAGGAGGAGGAAAAATACCACCCATCTCCTCTGTCCTAATTCTTCGTGGAATTCCTGAAGGCTGACAAATTTGTTTTTCCAGCTCTGTCCATATGTTCTGATGAGGAAATGCCCATGCGAGAGACATGAGACGTAATAACGTCCTGGAAGGAAAAAAAATAACATACCTCCAGACAGTTCAGGTGAGAAGTGGCTAACTCTTCCAGGTAAGGCATGGGGTTAGGGTTTATCAGCTTTATCCACATCTGTAACTTTGCTTCTTAAACTTATTTTCCCTTCTGTGAAATAGGGATGATGGCTCTTGCCTCCATGGGAAGCAAGATGCCCCATCATCTCACTCCTCTGTGGTTCTAAATCTCAGGAATGTTAAAACAAACCATAAATTCCTTTAGATGTAAAAGTGAAAAGAACCGTGTTTTGGGTTCTCTGGCCAGACACTTTCTTGCCTTTGGATTCCTCGAGGCACCTTTGTATCCTTATAGCTGATAGGGATGATGGCTCTTGCCTCCATGGGAAGCAAGATGCCCCATCATCTCACTCCTCTGTGGTTCTAAATCTCAGGAATGTTAAAACAAACCATAAATTCCTTTAGATGTAAAAGTGAAAAGAACCGTGTTTTGGGTTCTCTGGCCAGACACTTTCTTGCCTTTGGATTCCTCGAGGCACCTTTGTATCCTTATAGTGTCTTCCTAACTTCAGCTTCAGCTGAAGTTAGGAATTTCTATGGAATTAGACACTCCCTATGAGTAGAGATGGTGGACATGGTTGATGTTCGAGACCACACAGGCTGGGAGAGAAAAACTCCTGCGGGAAGGGATTCCTGGACTTCATCCTTACCTTCTTCAAGTCTTCCTTCTTAATGGCTAAGGCAAGAATGTCGTCTCCTTGTAGGACATTGCTAACAGGCTCAGTTTCTTCCTGAATGGGGGGTGTGGGCTGTTCAGATACCTTTGCCCGCTTCTTTTCTAAAGAGAAGCAGAAGATTACAAGTGCTATATGTATGTATTTATTTGACTCCATGGTCAGGGGCGGGCAGGGGAAGAGCTGGCCAACTGGATGGTCAGTAGAGGCTGCCAAGGTGGCCTGGGCAGTACTTGATTGGGGTGACAGGAGTTCTCTCTTCAAAGTTCCCCCTACCCGTTGCCCTTAGCCCACCACAGCAACTGAAGGTAGCCAGAATTGAGATCAGAAGATATTCCATTCCAGGCTGTGCTACTTATAAGCTGAACGACCTTGGATATATCACTTAACCTCTCGGCCTTAGTCTTCCCTTCTGTAAAAAGAGGAAGCTGGACTAAATCAGTGGTTCTCAAATAGTATTCAAATGTCTGCCTCAGAGTGCTCTGGGGAGTTTTACAATTATAGCTTTCTGGCTCCTGCGTGGAGTCAGGGCCTGGGGAATCATATTTTTTAAACTTCCTAGGTGTTTCTAATGTCAATAGGTTGGGACGCCTGGACTAGATGCTTCCTCAGCTTTCTCCATTGCTGGCACTCATCCATTCTTCTGGGTGAAGGCATCAGGTTTTTTAAGACACTGCTTAAAATACAGATGCTCTGGAGGGAAGCAGAACATTCACAGCTGACCATTTATTTCATGTTCTTTCATTAAATAAATACTATTTAAGTATCTTCTATGTGCCAGGCACTGTGCTAGGCTCTGGGGACATAAAGCAAGAGATTCAGGCTTCAAAGAGCACACACCCATGGGTGACAAGGCTGTCAGGCTGAACTAGGATTACTATGGGAGCAGCCCGGCTGGGGGGCCTAGCCCAGTGTGTGGGGTAGTCAGGGAAAGCTCTCTAAGGACATGATGTTTAAACTGAGAGCTGAAGAATGGAGAGAACATAGACAAGGGAAAGGGCTTGGGGAACAGGAGTAGCGTGAAGAGGCCTAGAGGCAAAAGAGGAAGGTGCACACTCCTAGAACTCAAAGTATGTATGAGTTTTTAAAATAGCTGGAGTGTAGTGAGGTGTGAGGTAGAAAGCAGTGCCTGGAAAAAGAAGTTGGAGCCATATCACAAAGAGCTTAGTGAGCCATGTAAAGGACTTCAATCTTCACACCATGGGCCATCTCATGGCAAGGAATGGATTAGGGGGCGCGATCACTGAGGAGTCTACTACAGTAATAACACTGGTTGACGACAATGGCTTATGGGACTTGAGAGAAGTGGAGAGATCTGAGCCTATTTCTCTCATGCGCCATGCCAGAGCATGGCACTGAGAACTCGTTGTGCAGAAGCGAGTCATTCTCCAATGAGGAAACACTCTCTGCCTTCCTTCCAGAGGTGGGTTAACAGTTTCAAATTCATCTCATTTCTCTGGCTAGTAGACTCCTGTCTGCTGCCCTCTGGTTTAGAATGGTTTGATGTAAGGCCCTACAGAAAATAATCAAAAGAAAACTTTGAGTCCTGATTTCAGGAACTTTAAAACAGAACTTGGTTTTGTCCACTGCGTCTCACAGTACTCTAATTTTGCAGAAGCAGTATCACCAGAACATCAAAGCAAGTGTTTTGGTTACCCAAATCAAACTCTTTTTTTTTTTTTTTTTAGGAAATACCCACATAATTGGTGGCAAAACAAAACAAAATAAAATAAAACAAACAAGCCTAAGCCAGAATCATTCCAAACATAACTCTAAATCCCGCCTATGGGCCAGAGTCCATCTCCTCAGCGATGGGGTCAGTGGAAACTCAGGAGCATCATCAACTTAACCGCATGGCTCTGGTCCCATCCATTGCCACGCATGGACATGCAGCCTTAGGTTTTGATTTCTACAGTCACTAAAACTGGTGGCAGCCCAAGAGACAATTGGTATCAGTTGAAAGTCTGCCTTTATAAACATTTTTGTATTATTTCTATTTTCTAGGATATCTTCTCCCTCTGCCCATCGCCTTGGCTGCTTCTACATCTTCTCAAGGGATTAAACATCTCCAGGTCTGAGCTTTTTACTTATGGGTGTATAATTACCATGGTGAATTTATAAACTTTCAACATTGCTGAAGATTTCTGAAATACTGAAACTCTGGTCTGAGGTTTTTTTGAGAAGGTCATCTTAATATACAGTCAGGGAATGGTGTGTTCCAGAGTTAATAAAATATTCACAAAAATGATATGTACATTTTAAACTTCGAATCACCCTAGATGATTTGAATTTACCTAAATTTACCAAGCATCTTCTATGTGCTATAAACTACAGAGAAAATGGTATAAAAGGTTAAGATATGGCTCTTTCTCCTGAGGAATTGAAAAATGCAGCAGACATTAACATACACCAATTATAACATAAGAGCCTAAAATTAGTGGCATAGGCAATGGGTTTGGTTACACATCAAAGCAGGAGCAGATGGATGTGGATTATACAGTTTAGGGCTCTAACCAAAGGTTCAGAAGAGCAGTTGCAGGGGTCAGAGGCAGCTTCACAGGCCATTAGGCCTTGAAGGACAGGAAGACTTTGCACAGACGGAGCAGCAGACAGAGGTGTTCCAGGTGGGGTCACCGCTGGAGCAAAGGTGGAAGCAGGGCTGAGCATGACATATGTGAGGCATGGTGTCACAGAAGGCTTGTTGGGGAGGTGGGGGCGATATTGGGGATAAGAGGAAAACCAGGGCTTTGTAAAGTAAAGCTGAAGCATCTGATCTTCCTCTGTCGGCAGGAAGGAGGTTTGGTCCAGGAGAGTGAAATGAAAGCATTTCAGAGTGATTCATCCAGTCAGGGTAAGCCAGGTGGACTGGAGGGGCAGAGGCAAGTTGGGGAGACCGGGGAGGAAGGATAATCCCACGAGGGTCACTTCAGGACCTTCATGAAGACTCTACAGGGTCAAAGTGTATCTCACTACTGAGCCTGCAGAGGCCCAGCTATTTCCTGTTCTTTGGTCTGAAAACCCAAGCTGCGTGGGGCTCCTGGTGAGCACACGGCCGGCATTTCTCCCCTAATCTTGACAGCTGCAAGGTGGTCAGAGACCAGCCCTCTTGTATGGGGCAGTCAGGTGACACCTCTGCTGGAATTAAGTCAGGCAACTAGAAGCAAGGTATTCAGGTGGGGTAGGGTGGGGAAGGGGTTGGGGAGAGAAGACAGCTATAGAGGGACAAGAAACCTGGACTCTCTTGTTCTGCTCCTCGTTTTATTTAAATGTTATTCTTTTTTGTGTTGATTAAAGTCTTCAGGAAATTCTGACCTCAGGGTTGCGTTGGGGGAATGCAGGGATGGGCTGTTCCTACCAGGGCTATTTTACTTGATGCAGGAGGGGGATCTGGTACTGCTGGGAGGGAGTCTCCCACATTTCTTAGCAATAAGACCTGGGACTCAAAAGGGTTGGGATCTCTAAATAGGTTTACGGTCACAATATTTGCTTGCCTTTTTGCTTATAATTCAGAGACCTTGGAGAAACACAGCACAAGATTAAAAGATTATATTTGTTGATTAGCTGTATTATAGTGGGGAGGGGGGAAGTAGTGCCCTACAACATTAGAGGCTTCCCCTGAGATATTTAGGGGGAGAAAGGTATCCCGCATGCAGAACTAAATTAAACACTGATTTTTTTTAACTCCTCACCCTGGCGCACGTTCTTAACTCAAGGGCTATTTAATAAACCCAATTTCCCCTTACTAAAAATAAATATGCAGTGAAAAATCTTTCCTTGATTTGCTTAAGTCTGATTAAGATCTCCAGAAGCTAGGTGAGAGATGGCTAGGAAAGCCCTTGACTACCCTTGGAAAAGGAGACCAGCTATCTTCTCCCTTTCTTAACTGTTAAAAAGTATATCATGAAACAGCATCTCGGCGGTGCAGTCTAAATCGGACTTTCATACTATAAAGAAGCATTAAAGAAAGCCATGCTGAAAAGTAGCTAAGCTCCGGTTAGTTTGACTCCAGGCCTGCCCCTCTGCTTACACTGTGCTTT